CCCACGATGCATGACTATCGCCGGCCAAAAACACTGTGTTGTCGATGCTGTTATCGTAGAGCGTCTTGAGCGTCCGGTTTCGGTTAGCAGCGTAACCGTCCCACTGGTCGTAGTTGAACGGGTTCTTGGGTCCATTGGAGATGCTCTGGTTCATCTTGCTGAAGACTACCTGGTTACCAACGACACGCCATCGTGTTGTCGAGGCTGACTCTATAAGCTGACGGTAGAACCAGTTTTCTTGGCGAGAGCCCATCAGCGAGCGGCTGGTATCATCACTAATGGTATGAACGTAGCCTGTGTTCCAGTATAGGTCGGTGATGGAGCGATCGTAGTTGCGGGTGTCGAGCATGATTAGATTGAAGAGGTCGCCGAAATGGAAGCTACGCCAGATGCGCAGGTTGTCGTCCATATCAACCTGACGGAGGGGCACTTGTGGGAGCAGGCAATGTCAGCGTGGACAGCTGGGAGATTTTGTGTCGTGAGGCAGTTAGGACTCACTCCATTCAAAGTATGCGCGCACAGCATTCATCTTGCGCGCTTCCACAGATATGCCGTCGTCTTTGATAAATGACTGTTCGGTGTTGTTCATTGCTGCGGAGCCGTCTCGGTAGGGGTTGTCCATCACCTCGTGGTCATCCCAGACAGTTATCCAGGGGAACTTTTGATGGCTAGCGCGAAGGTCAGGGTCGCTGCGGTACTGGGCAAGGCGTCGTCGGTAATCGTAGAGCCTAAGGGTGACTTGAATCAGTCATGAATCGTTCAATAGATAGGCGTTAAGATTTAACGCACGTATGACATGAGCGATTGGGCTCGGGGACACGACCTATAGAGTTTCCCCATCCTAAGCCGCCGACGGGATACTCGCCGTTCCCATACTCGTAAATATAATCGCCGAGGTGGACGATATAGTCCACGGAGTCTTTCCGCTCGGGATTCCCGTAGGCATTGAAGAATCCGAATGCTAATGCAAACACATTAGCTTGGATAACATAGCTACATTGTTTTAACATGTAGTTCAGCGAATAGCTCACGGTAGTTGGCACAGCTATAGACAGCTAGCTTGATTGCCCGTCTCACTTTGGTACCTGACTCCGGCAGGGTTCGAGTTCTGCCGACAGGGGACTTGACATCGGAATCGCAGACATTGAACTGGTAATCTGCTTTGCGTTAGATCACGTCCTTCGGCCTAGGTTGCTGAACCAACAGTAAACCGTGAATGGCTTGAGAGCCTTTGCTTCGACCTGTGGTAGAGTAAGTGATTGAAGCTTTGGGCGTCTACGTAATACGCGTCAACTGACCTTGACGGTGAAGTCAACATCCGAACTCGTATAAGCCGTCCCTGACTTAATCGGTTGCCCATCCATGGATGCAGACCTCCCGATCTTCCAGTCAACGCAGATTGGCGACTTGCTTGCCTTGACGAAGACGTCGTTGTCATGAGCGTACATTGGAGCGGTGCCCTCAACAGTCACGTTGCTGCGGTCATTATCCAGGGTTGGTGCAACACGAGTCCAGAGGATAACGCTGTCGTCATACGGGTCGCCGGATGCTACGCCGTGTGTGAAATTCAGCTGCTCCGGTGTCCATGGCGAACTACCCTCAGATCGACTTGCTACTTTGCGAATAGAGATACCGAGGAACGGGTGGTGGAGTGAGGGAGAGCCATAATTAAGGTTACCCGCATATGTAGAGGTAGCTACGGCAGCTAAGCTGGCTGTGCAAAGAGACTTAAGAAAGTGCATCTCAAAAAGAATGAGTGACTAACAGTCGAGCCAAGATTGAAGAGCTCTTCAGAGTAATGGATTCCTGCAGTACGAAAAGGCCAATTGCCACCAGGTCACTTGTTTATTTCCTCTTCATGGCAAGGACTGAAAACAATCTTATAAGTCAATCGTGCACGTATTCAAGCATCGTGTCGGTATCCCACCGGAAGGGTGGGGGGGCATAGCCAGTAGATAACTAGGTAGCCGAAAGTCAATCGTAATTTGGGAACCTTAATACTCAGTGTCCAAGCGGCGAGGTCGGGCTCTTTGTGATGCCGAATGGTGCTCCTCGGGCTATGAAGCGGATCACTAAGTGATAGGCGGACTTGACTTAGTGCGAGATGACAGGTGTCAAAATACCAGGTAGAGGTAATTAGTAGTACACAAGAGATTGCCATCTTCATTCCAAGCTTCAGGTGAGTTACACTGGAAAAGCTTAACTGTATGGCTTGACAGCTCCAGCCCGGCCTTAGTTTTTGAAAGGTGTATACTGTACACTATGCTGGACCACTCCGTCGTGAAGGAAATATGGCCTCGGAGCGTTGATGATTTGTATATTCCCGTGACTGTTGATATGCTCAGAAGACTGCAGGATTCTCCAAGTTGATGTGAGCTTAGACGTTCACCCTTGGATACGCGGCGTTGGGAACTTGTTGATCCCGTTCACCTAGGTATGTTGGATCGTAGTGACTTCTTACAAGCAGCGTCCCGAGATGACCGAGTATCCATTGATGGAAGGTGATTGGTATCCACAAAGCAGATGAGTCTGAGCGTATATGGTACGGGTTGACAATCTATGCTGGATTCCGGTAATCCGAAGTCCCAGGCCTAGATACCGCACTTGGTCAGAAGTCTTGCCGGGAGTGGCTGTTCTCGCTCGCGGCGGCGCCGAACCCCCAGTCGGAAAGAGTCAGACAGCTGTTTTCTGTCTCCCATTTCCTCCTTTGCCATGGAAGCTATCTGGGTGCACAATTTGGCCTTTCCGATTTCAGACTTGTAAGACAAGATAACCGACAGTCGGAGTTCTGAACTTACTTCCATAAATGCCCGTGAATTCATTCTCGAGTCTTACGGGCCTTCGAACTGAAGTATTTGATTTCCTAGTTTCCATATTGGACCCAGCTGAGACTTGCAAAAGTTTTCAATAGCTATTGATACGGCATTAGGTCACGCACATCGGATCGACTCAACATACCTCAAACGCAAGATGTGTGTCGTGGCCTCAAATCGCGATGTTTGGATGTCAGTCTCCCAGCGCCGCTTTTTGGTTATAGCCCTTAACAGCATCACCATCCTCCCGTTCCTTTGGATCAACTTCATCGTATTCGTACGAAGCAAGCACACTCTGCTAGACACAGTCATTGTGCTTTGCGGAACTATCTGCATTCCATGGCCTATCGTCAGCTTCTGGAACTCTGCAATTGGCTTATGTATCATCTTGTTCGGCAACGCAGAGCGATCCGTCTACCCATATTTTCGACCTCGAGGACCTCTGTCGAAGCTTAGGTCTACGACAGCGCTCACGATTTTCATGCGTAACGAAGATCCAGGTCCAGTGCTCGACCGCCTCTACGCCATGTATGAGAGCCTTCAGCAAACCAATTGCCTCAAGCACTTTCGATTTGTGCTACTTAGCGACACCGACCACGTTGACGTAGCGCGATCGGAAGAGGGGGTATTTGCTCAGCATGCCGTATCTCTGAGCGAGGGTATGGCTAAGCCTCTGTTCTATCGACGCCGTGATAGAAACACCGGGTACAAGGCTGGCAACCTCAAAGACTACCTCGACAACCACTCCAAAGGAGACGACTTCTTTGTCACCCTTGACTCCGACAGCGCTATGAGCGGCGACATACTCATCCGACTGGTTTCTAGCATGGAAGAAAACACCCTCATCGGGTTATTGCAGACCATAGTCATTGGTATGCCTGCGGTCAGCGCGTTTACACGGCTCTTCCAGTTCGGCTTGCGTCATGGAGTGCGAACATACAACATGGGCTTCAGCTGGTGGGCTCACGACTGCGCGCTGTATTGGGGTCACAACGCTATAATCCGTACTGATGCCTTCCACAAGCATTGCATGCTGCCGAAACTCCCTGGAGAGCCGCCGCTGGGTGGTTACATCCTCAGTCACGATCTGCTGGAAGCAATGTTCATGCGCCGAGGCGGCTACGAGGTCCGGGTGCTGCCTATCGAGACGGAAAGCTACGAGACCAATCCGCCTACTTTTCTCGACTTCCTTCGTCGCGAATTACGCTGGTGTCAGGGGACTATGCAGTACTGGTTCATGCTGAGCGAACCTGGCATTCATCCAATCAGCCGCTTTCAGGTGTATCAGACCTTGACCACGTACATTGGGCAGGCTTGCTGCGTCTTAATGACCTTGGCATGCATCACGAAGGAAGTCATAGGAGAACCTAGTGTCATTCAAATGAGCCTCGTCTTTGGCTGGACTCCGCATCTTGCTCTCGCTGCTTTCGGCATATTCCCCAAACTTGCGGGTGTCTTCGAGGCGGTGACAACGTCTTCCAGGCGCTATGGTGGTAGTTTTCGCTGCATCCTCTCAACTTTTGTGGAGTTATTTCTGATGACCTTCATTGCACCGATCACAGCTCTGGCTGTTGCGGTATTCTTGTGTGGTCTACTCAAGGGCAAGTCCATCACATGGGATGGGCAGAACCGCGATCGGCTCGGTCTCAGCTGGCGTGACAGCTTCCGTGTTCTGTGGCCGCAGACCGTTCTCGGTTTTGGAGTTCTACTCGCTGTTCGAGAGACTGCTGAGCTGGCGTGGGCTGTTCCATCAGCCGTAGGTCTCTTGTTGGCGATACCCGTTGCTGTAATCACGGCGTCACCCGGTTTCGGGGATGCGATCACTTCTATGCGCCTCTTCGAGATACCGGAAGAGATTGAACTCCCGCTCTTGTTGTCTAAGCTCCTTCCAGCGGGGTTCAAAGCAAAGAAGAGGATTTAGGGAGTGAGGTAGCGGGTTGTTGGGGGACAACTGCTTCGGTGCTTTCTGTGCAAGGAGGCACAGTCTATCGGGTCTAAGGGCGAAAGATTCTCTCATCTCACTCATATCACGAAGTGTTTGCAAGGTATTTAGTTCAGTAGAAACATTTAGTATTCGTTGCTTCAATCATACGCTCAAGAAATCGCAATTTTGCACCCCCTTTTTGCACAACAATGGTATCATCCAAATCCAAACCACCGACCCCTGCTTAAACCCTTTACTCCTTTTCAAACATGCTTAGCTCCATCATCAATGCCCTTGGAGGGGCCAAGAACTCTCTCCTCGTCGTAGTCCTGGCTACTACCAGCGTCGTATGCGACGCGGATGTCATCAATCTCCTCTCCGACCTCCATCCACTTGTCGCTAGTAGCGGGGATAGGAGAGATCTTGCAGAGACCCCAATACACGCCACCAGAAACGATGAACCCAGCGAAGAAGTTGAGATTGTAGATGTATGTCGCGCCGACAGGGACATCGACGCCAATCGCACCGACGAATCCAACCACATTGGGCAAGATTCCGGCAATGTAGGCGGCGTACCCGCGCCAGTGGAAGCCGTAGGTGAAGAAGTACGGGCCGGTCTTGCGCGCATCGTACAACTCTCTGATTTCGAGGTACCCCTTTCTGACGACGTAGTAGTCAGAGCACATGACACCTGCGATGGAGCTCAGGAAGACGCTGTACGCCGAAAGGTAGGTAGTGAATTTGTTGGAATCTGTGAGCAGGGTGTACGGGCACATGGCCAGACCGATTGCGGCGCAAATGTATCCACCGCGACGAATGCTCAAGTACCGGGGCAGCAGAGCTGTCATATCGGTACCTGCGGAAACGGAGTTGGCGGCAATATTGGTTCCGAGTTGGGCAAGAGCAAACGCAAAAGCGATGACGAACACACCGAATCGCTGGGCGGAACCGCCATCGTCGATGAATCTCTCGAGGAGCTTGAGGGGGTCCCAAATCTCCTCACCGTAGATGACTGCCGAGGAAGAAGACACCATAATGCCGATGAATGAGGTGAAGGCAAAGCCGATGGGAATCGTGAAGAGCTGAGACCAGAGAGCATCGTTCGGCTTCTTGGAAAAACGGGAGAAATCGGGATCGTTGACGATGAGGGTTGCGAAGTTGGCGATGGACGACATGACGCCCTTGACGAATTCCCAGGCCAAGTCGCTGCCGTGAAGCTTTGCGGGCTGACGAACGATCGGACCGATGCCGCCGGCGCGGACAATGGCCCAGATCATGAAGGCGATTCCAGCGCATGGGACGATGTACGACTTGACTGTAAACAAGTGTCGGATCTTGTGAACGGGAAACCAGATGGCGGGCAACGACAGCACCCAGAAGAGGAAGAAAGACACCCAGTCAGCGGTGGTAGTGCCGGAAGATGCAGAGAAAGTGTTCGGAATCGTCTCTCGGTCCTGGTTTGCATCAGATTTGAAGCTTCTTAGGCATTCCAGAGGCATTGCTACTCACCCAAGACTTCCAGATGGAACGGATCATCAGGTAAACGCAGTGGCCGCCGATATAGGCCTGGACACCGTACCAAACACAAGCTGGGGTTGATCAGTGACGTTCAACATGAAGAAGAGAGCATCAGGCTTACCCATGGCAGCACGGTTAAAAACAGGCCACAAACTTCCCCAGATCCCGAAAGATGATCTGTTGACGACGGGGAAACCAATATGGTACACTGCACCGATGCGACCAGTCATGCAGATGAAGCATCCAGCAATGGCGTAGCCGATCCAGACACAGAGCCAAGACTGCCACCAAGAAAGACCACCCACAATCATGGAGGACGAAATCATCCATGTGTTGACGTTGAAGGAGTCAGCGACCCAGAAAGCGACGAAGTTCCAAGGTCCCCATTGCCGTCTCTCGGGTTCGACTCTGTCTGGAGGTCAGTCACCATGCTCTTGCAGGTGTCGCGTGCGCTTTTTGTAGTGGCATTACTCACGGTTTGAGATCATGGTTCGTCAGCTGTAAATTGAGAATGTTAGAACGATTCCGGATGGCTCAAGAATTTTTCGTCTGGCAGATCTTACCATCAGCTGAGCGCTGGTCAACCCAGGCTCTGATTTGACAGCGATCTTGTCCGCCAAGTAACCCAGTCTTGAGCCATGGGCCTTTTCCGGGCGAGCGGTAGTAGTTGCAGTATCCATGTCCATTTTGGCGACTCTCTCTGACGGAAATGGACTTTGGCAAGACGTATCGAGGGGTGAAGTCTGGGACAATGTGCTGACTTTCGGATGATTTCGATTCGGCGAGTTGTCGAAACACCAGTACACGGACCGGCACAGGTTGCGATGACGATATGCACGTGAGGACGAGATGGGGAACCGAAAGACTGGGCTGCAGGGTGACACGGGTCGTGATCTGCAGGATGACACCCCAAAAGAAGTGGCGATACCAAGGCAGTCAAGTCTGGTCGTTTGGTTGAGGGTGGGAAAACTCCAGCTGATCTCTCTCAGACAAAGAAGCGAGGTCGAGATGATGGAGGAGATGTTGACTGATATTTATTCACATGCTGGGCCGGTGTCGCTCTGGATATGGAGAGGCTGATAAAAGACCTCGCCAGTTCCACGAAAAGGAGTCGGCGGTACCTTGGTGTCAGTGATTATCGACTGATGGACCCGGAAATCGCTGCGACAAACCCCCACATGGGACAAGCGTGACAAGCTCTTCAAGGTCGTCGCCTCCATCTTTTCCATCCCGCTGGCGCTGGGCAAAGGAGGAGGAGACGATTGGGGAACCGGAATGCAGACGGGGGGGTGACAAGCCCAAGAACGCAAGACAAGACGACGCTACGAACCGCTTTCAGACAAGGGTGCTGCCGGTCTCGCCGTGATTGCAGCAAATTGAAATGCTCCCAAGTCGACAACGACGTCAAATCTGATCGAGTAAGAGGACGAAGCCCTGGCACCGGAAACCATAAAAACTCTGGTCCTTTGGACGCATTCCGCGGCTCTCATTGGTTCCTCCCAGAAGAGAAAATGTTCTTATCAGGGGCGTTGGAGGTGGCACCGCGTTAGTACGGCGACGAGGAACGGCTCCCGCTCATCAACAACGCACCATGATGCCTGTCCGGCATGGGACGGTGCGGCTATGTATGATAACTTAGCTCCTCTGACAGGGGTAGCTTATCATAGATGGCGCCCAAACCCCGCATGTTATCCATTACTCGATCTCATCGAGTCAACCACCAAAATGTGCGACTCGCGGCATGTTATCGATCGCCTCACGCAGCCTCAAGATACCAGACAACCAACATGATGAACTAGAGAAATTGCTTCGCATCGCTTGGCTCGTCTTCTTTCAGGATCTTTCTTCCCTGTCCTCGTCAGCGGTAAATTGACGTGGCAGTCTCACACCAGAGTCGCAAGGCCACAAGGCCAGCACCCTGCGAGAACCTGGAGAGAATATATCTTTCATTGGACCCAAATTGATGTCAAGGTCAATTACATGCTCGTGAACAAAAAAGAAAAAAAAGAAAAAAAAACTTCATCTAATAAATCATGACGTTGCCTCGCAAATGCCATCATTGTCCGCTTGTCTGGGCCTTGAACAGCTCGCGTGCTAATTAGCATTCCATATCTTCGGTATCACCTGGGGCTCGGAATCATTCCCAGACCAAACTTTTGCCCTGCAACCACCGGTACTTCTTGGTCGGCTGGTCCCTGATAAGACGATGGCTGGAATATCCTACCACATCAAGAGCGAGATAAGAACTAGGAGAAGCGAACCCTTGGCCCCACTCGCTTCACACGGCTGGGGGATCTTCACCACGTTCGATCAACACACCAACTCGTTTCCACTTATCTCCAGACGCTCCCAAGCTCACCCAATTTCTCCCAGACGGCAGACGCGACGGTAGAGTGGACAACAACTAGACACTCGAGACATCTCCCTATCTAAAGCCTGGACGAGCCCAAATAGGGTGCTTCTCACTCCCTAGGTGCTGGTCTTGGTTGCTAAATGCGAAATGTTTAGGCGCTGATTCCTGTATGTCGCTAACGAACCATGATAAGATGGTGGCCGCCGGCGCAGAATGCTGAATTTCTCACTCAATTCAGCCGCAGCTGCGACCGCAGGACTGGCATGTCACCAGGCCCTGGATCGCGTAGAGTCGTTACTCTGATGGCATTTTCTGATATTCTCCGATGAAATCCCACTGGACGGAGACAGACACCATCTTACATGTGATGTTGAAAGAGAGATCTATTCACCTTGGGGTCGGGTGGCGCGCTTCGTAACGAGCCGTCGGGAAGATTTGAGCATGGCCACCCTAACAAAAGTACTGAAGGGCGGCCACGCCGCCGGCCACAGCAAGGTTTCGGCTGCGGAGATGGCATTTCTAGCGCCACTATCTTCCTCGTGGCTGACGGCTGTGACAGTGGCTAGTGCACAGCAAGTTGATGTTCTGGATTCGTCTGGCAACCAACACCCCACGTTCTAGTTGTGTTCTGGATGAACCAACCATCTGGTCCTGCCAATTTCAACGACATGATTTCGTGGGAGAGAAGAGCTAGTTTCCGAGTCTCTTGATCACATGCTACGAAAAGCGAAGTTGGGTGTCTACTAGCAGGTCACATACACAGCCAAGCGTGGTCATTTACTTCCAACCTTTGGGTTACAAGCCATCAGTACACCAATAAAATCGTCTCATATTCGACCGACGGCCCTTCCGAAACGAACAAATTTGAAGAACACTGAACACAACTAAGATAGCTGAGAATTTCACCGATAAATCCGTGCATGACACGAGTGTAGTAGCCAAACTACCTTGTTCTGCAATGCCTCATTTTCACATATTGATCTTTCCTTTTTACGATGCACAGCTTGTATCAATTCATGACCCGGTATCTTTTACTTCAGGAGGCTTGCCAAAGAAAGATCGACCCAAACCCCACTCGTCGTATCCCCAACATTGGTTTTTTAGCGTGTTCCTCTACCGTGTCAGTTCCTTCAGCGTTGGTTCTCAAGCCTGATTACCAGTATGATATCACAAATTTCGCAAGCAGTAATGTTCGTGACGAATCGATTCTCCAGATGGTCATCATTGCCAAGATTTGATGCCAAATTCGCAACAGCCTGTACAGTCAACTATGGTTCACTTAAAGCTCAGTCTGTGAGTGCGAACGATAATGGTTCAACGCGCTGCCCAAGAGTCAACAGCAAGAAGTCCGCGATCAAGCTTCTAGAAGATCGAGTTTGACTACTTGTTACCACTTAAAACTAAGTATTTGAGCCTTGATCCAAGAAAGGGGGGAAACATGATTTCAGGTAGGACTAAGAAACCCGCGTCGTAGCGAGATTCAGAGATTCCACTCAGCTAACCTTGAGTACCTTGAATCAAGGAATCGGAACGCAAGCAAGTCGTTGAAAATTTATCAAAATCCTTCCAAGTTAACAACATTCATTGGTGAAACCTACTTCCGTCAAAGAAACGCCTCAAGACAGAAGTGAGTAAGCATTAGCACCGAACTCTTGAACGTCTGGCATAGTGGCCTCGGCATCCATTTCTTTCGGTTCATATTCAAAAGAATCGGGACATGTGAACTCAAGCTCTCGAGTCTCGTAATCTAAATGGTGTTTTTTCAAGTAGATCAAATGGGCGTTTGGGAAGTCGAACTGCCCTCTTTCACACATTGTTGATAGGTTGACACGTATCATGGCAATAATCAGGGTTTAGAAGTTCCCAAAGCAGGGAATGGCGTTACAGAGGGATGTTGAACGATGAAGAGTTGCCAAACCAGAGTCAAGCCCTGCGAGTCATCGGACTTCAAATTTATGTCAGTGGTATTTCTTCATTCGTGGCAAACATCATTAATATGTGGTGGCGGCTGCCTGGAAAGCCACACCCAGCCGTTCTCTAGAGGCCGTTTGCCTGCGCTAATTTCTGACCTGAAGTTTGGTTATCGTTGTCCCTCTTGCATTCCGAGGGGCTGGATTTCTGGAGTGGCTGATATTCTGTCCACTCACAAGGCGATATGAATATGCACAACATAGCGGTATCCCTTTCCAGCCCTCGGTAGGACACAATAAGAAACTTGCAGCGGTCATGGCATAGCTAAAGTAGACTTATCTCAGATTCTATCCAATCGATTTGATTCGAGGTTTGTGTCGCATGTCGCTGTTTTGCAGGGCTGACTTGAAAGAGAAGAGGGGTAGTCTCCCGTCCTCCCGTCATAGGCGACAGAGATACACGCCTGCGTATCCCTTGGTTTCCCCCAGCGGCTTGTTGAATATCAGAGCAGTCCCCACGATTTCCGTCTTCCGGAATTAGTCCATCTGTCTTCCTAGTTACACATATTCTACATACTGCTAGCGTTTAAAGTTGCTTTCTGTTCAACAGCATGGTTGTCGCGTGTCCCGGTGCAAGCCCTTGTCGGCCCATTTTTCGAAATATGCTCAGTGCCTTTCTCGTTGCCATACATGTGGCCTATGCTCAAGAATGCAACTATGCTGGCGGCTGGTCTCTTCGGTTTCCCAGCTCTTCCTGTCCCCAAGATGCCCCCTTTGAATGTGGAAAAGCCGGAGGACTCCAAGTTCGATGCTGTCCCTCGGGGCTGTCGTGTGCGGGCAACGGCAGCTACGATGGGAACTACTGCTGCCCAGGTTCGTGAACACATCTTGATACCTTTCTCACTTCGCATCATCTGCTGACGCTCTTTGTCTTTGTTAGACTCCACCGACTGCTCGTCCTCGGCATATACTCACCCCAAGGTACCTCGCGCCGTTCCCCAGTGCGATACACCGAGACGAGTATCGTACTAACAGCCCAGTGCCCTGATCCATCATGGAGTATGTGGGTAGCAAATGATACTGTCAATGATAAGCCAGATACTGGCGCATGGTGTTGCAAGCCAGACTACAAGGGCGTGTATCGGGACAACGGCACCGCCAACTACTTCTGCACGGCGACATCTATCTCCACCCTTCAGCTTAGCTACTACTGGGCGCATATTCTCACTACTACCACTTCGTGCTCTTTGACTGCAACGCCGGCTGGTCTGTCAACAGCTACGTCTACACTTTTGGCCTCAGTTACACCCAACGCAACATCTGTCGGGACCGGGACAGGCACAGCATCCAGCACAGGCACCCGGTCTGAGTCGACTGGCACAACATCTCCGGCCAGCGAAGAGCAGACCGGAATCCCAGTTGGAGTCAAAGTTGGAGCAGCAGTCGGATGCGTGGCGGGTGCCGCACTGATTGTCGCGGGGATCCTCTTCATTAGAAAAAGGAAGCAAAAGACGATAGAGGGAATTACGCTGACTGGGGACACGGAAGAGGGACGTGGCAAGCCCGAGGCCAAATACTTTCATAAGGGTACCCGCCGCCCTAGTGAGCTGGAGACAGTCGAGCGAACTGTCGAGCTTGATGGCGCTAGACCCAGGTATGAGCTTGACGCGACGAGGAAAGAAGATCAATATGACGTTGTGTCTCCGATGAGCATATGACCAGGCAACTAGAAGGTTTCATGCACAACGGAAAGATGATGAAGAACGAGACGTAATAATTCACATAGCCTTGGGTCAAGGTTATTTCGGATGCGGTATTGATGAGTAGGTATAGGCTTTTCATACAGTAATCAATACCCGCATTGCTGTCTTCTGGTGGAAGGGTTACCGCAGGCTTGGTCACAATTACGGATGAAAAACCGTCCGAGCTAGGTATTTGACAATCGATTTCCACATGCCCATGTAACAACTATGTCCATCCTGTGACTCAACATAATTCCTGGCATGGTAAAGCCGAGTTTCTACAGGTCTCCACAGAAGTTGACAATACGCGTGACTCATTTCATGGCGGCGAAATCGAGTCTGACATACCTTGTGAGCCTAAGTTCTCCCGCATCTATGCAAGTCCTTGTCTCCCAAGACTCCACGATGCGTGTGAGGCGTTTGACAGCAACCCTGATGACCAAAAGCAAAAGATTGATCAGTGGGAGGCTTGAACTCCCGGCCTTGGCATTACTCAACATTTCTGATGAAATATTAGTACCACGCTCTAACCAACTGAGCTAACCGACCAGCTGTTGTTGATATCGATATTGTGGAAGTGAAGCCCTAAACCCCACTGCAGCCAGCCCGCAACGCGGACATCGTGAGATTAGGGGATCCACTGTTGATGGAGTCAACCTTGAGCTTATCCGCTTCACTGGATGGAGACGGATGCTCTGATAGCTTGACTTGTCTCTGGAAATGTAGCGCCTGAGTTTTTGAGAGTTTTGTTATTTTGTGCATCTATGCCCAGGCTATTTCATTGAGTGCGGATGTCGTCAACAAAAGGATCCCCGCATGTCATCTTTTCTCCAAATCAGCTCCTCATATAGGCTTTTGGTTCGTATATCTAGGGATCAGGGACATGAATGCGGAAAGGATGTAATTCTTTACTACTCAGTAGCAACATGTCTGAGACAATTGCGCGCTTAATGGGACACTTCCAACGAGTTTAATGTTGGCCAAGGAAGGAAGTATTCATGTCATGTCGACTTTATCTGAGTCTCAGGTGGCGTGGTGTACCCCCAGAACGCCCATTCCCGTGGACTTGTTCCCGTCGACCCGTTCCAGTATACCTTGATATTCGAATGGCGTTTTAGGGTTTCAGGTTCCAACGGCTTTGCAGACTTCCCAGGGTCTTACATGGTCTTGACCATAACTTCCTGAGGCCAAGAAACCTTCATTCTATCTCCGATGGCATTGGTGGTAGCAGAGGTACCATGAGAATAGGTATAGAAACAAAGCCTTTCTCCCGTAATTGTTCACAGATTCTCTGATCAATCCCACTCTCTCTCCACTACGTCTCAGAAGCTCAGAACACACCATCCACTCATCTACTCGTTTTCAGATTCTCAGACAGCTCTACTCCAACGTCACGTCACACTTATATCAAGAACACCACCTCACTCTACCAACACCCACCAAACAGCTCAAATAACCCGAACGCCGTCATAATGCAGTTCTCATCTCTCCTCGTTCTCACCATCGCTGCCATGACCAACACAGTTTCAGCCAAAGGTGGCCCAGCCAAAATTTCCATCCCCCCCTCGGCTAATCCGGAACTCTGCCTGAAGCGCCTCGCCACCTTTCCCAACCGCCAAAATCAGCGTGCAGACTTCCTCGGCGGACGCTGCATCCAGGCTCGCACCTACAAGGGCAAGTTCGGCCCCTACAACGGTGACTTCTTTTTCGAGGCGTGCTGTACCGACAAGGATGGCAACTTTGGCGAGCCGACGTACGTCAACGTTGACGAGTGCGTCATCTTTGACCCCGTCAAGGGCGTTCTCGGGTGGAATAATCTCAATGAGAAGAAAATTCGCGATCACTGCGGCATGTGCACTGTCGGCAGCTCTCTTGTGCCAAAGGACGGGTTGCCTGCTGGCACCTACTTGACCTGCGACTGTAAGAAGGACAACGATGAGGTGATCCAGGCTAAGATCTGGCTGGGAATGGATCTTAATGAGTCCAGAAAGCCCAAGGATGAGTTTTGGATTAATGAAGGGGGCAAACTCACCTGCCACAGGCAACCGAAGCAGCAGAAGTAGGATGCTTACTGAGCTACTAGGGAGTTATCAGGATCGAGATAATTCTACTACGATAGAGTGGAAGGTGTATGATCTTCATCAACGGTACAACACTCCATGGATTAGGGCAGCAAGGATCTTCTCTACCAACACCACCGCCACTGTACGAGGCCTGCGTACAACATATACTGAAAATGGCGAAGACGGCGTTGAAGATTCAGGGCGATGAGAAGAAATGCGCCTGAGCAGGGTTGGAAACCTATTGCATCAAGTTACCTTGGTTAAAAGTAAAGCATTGGGAAGGTTGCTTGACCGATAGAGCTTGATTAATGGGGAAGTCCGAGCAAGCACAAACAACAGCCATAGGCCTTTAGAGATGGACTGCTGTAAACTACATTAGGCGTTTAAGGCGTTATGAGGGTGACACATCGTTTGCATTCTGCTAATACCCAATAAGAGCTCAATGCATCCTCAATAAGTGTCATCACTTGGTGAATGTGTTCATATTACTCATCGTACGTTGTGCTTGTGTCTGGTGTTTTCCTGTTTCTAGACTCAAGGCACGCATATAAGTCGGGAAACATGATAATATCGCTATTGATGCTCGCTCTGTTCGTACTCATTCTACACTTCTAGATTTGCGTTAACTCACGGCTGCGTGAACTTTCCAACGCGAGCTGCAATGAGGGGTGAGAGGTTTCCAATGTCGGAACCTCATCTAATGTCGTGAGACCAACGCCGTTTTATCCAAGACAACCTTTATCGAGCATTCTCACATGATGAGAGACAAATTAAGCAGAGGCGCAGTGTCCACCGTCGACACGGAGGTCTGCACCGGTCATGAAAGAGCTGCCTTCGGACAGGAGGAAGACAGCCGGGGCCTTGAAGTCCTCGGGTGTACCCAGGCGCTGGAGAAGGGCTCCCCTCATCCAAGTTGTCTCAACCTCAGGCTCGGCCTGCAAAAGCTGATCGGTCATTGCGGTCCGGATGTACTGTTGATGAATTAGTAACGAAACGCGGCGACGGTGGATGAGTGGAACTTACACCGGGCGACAGAGTGTTCACGCGGATACCGTATTGGCCCCATTCCTGAGCGACAGACCTGCACATCTGCTGAACGGCAGCCTTGCTGGTATTGTAGGCACTGCATGTCAATCCCTGGCGAGGAGTGTTAGTCCGGAAGCTCTGAGGATAACCAAACCTTCAAGATCGGGGTGTAGACACTTACTCTGTTCGCAATCTCTCCAGACATGCTCGAAATAAGCAAGATGCTGCCCTTGCTCTTGCGCTTCACCAACACGCGGGCGGCGTGCTTCGCCGTCACAAAGACACCCACGACGTTGACCTTTTGTATCCGCTCAAAGTCGGCAACGGGGTACTCGAGGGCGGGAATCTTCTGCTGGATGCCGGCGCAGGCGACGGCGCCCCAGAAGGGAGCACCGCGGCTGTCGGCGGCGTCTGCAATCTCCTCAAAGACCTTTTCCGTAGCTTCCTCGTCGGTGATGTCGCACTTGTGGTATGAGATGGAAAGGTTCTTGGAGGTGGCGAGCTTGGTGAGGTGCGCCCATTCGATGGGTGAGGGCTCTGGGAGGATATCGAGGCAGGCGGCGTGGCCTCCGGCTTCGAGGATGGCGAGGGCGAAGGTGATGCCCAGACCGCGACCGCCGCCGGTAATGACGATGGTCTTGTTGGAGAGAGAGAAGAGCTGAGGTGTTGCGACGGAAGAGGCGAGAGGATCCTTTGCTTCGGGGAGGGGGTGGACGGGCTCCGCGGGGAGGTCCATGTCGCTTACTGCTACGGGAGGCATAGTGAATGAAGTATTGGGTATCTTTAGTGAAAGGCGAACGAAGAAAGAGAATTACAATATGCGTGTTGCTACGAAGGCAGACTACGGCTCACGTATGAGGTTGAAAGTTGAATGGGGTAAAGGTATACTGAGTATGAGTAGAAAGAACTGGTGGTAGGAGACTCGAAACACGGGAAACATTGCGGTCACGGGTTGGTTATATGAGGGATACTGGACAGCCGGGGAGTACGGGGCGAACGGGAGAGGGACACGAACGGGCGTCGCTTGGAGTTGTGTGAAGCGTGCGAAGCTGCGAGATGCCGGCCGAGCCTCGACCATGGAAGGTCCCTTTGCGCCGGGGCCCCAGATTGAATGTTGTGCGTATTGAGAAATCACGAATTCTTGAGACGGCGTTCGGCATTGAGTCCGCGCAGAGAGACAAGATGGAGGGGCGTAATGGGAAGGGTGGTGGGAGGGCAAGTGGAAGCGCTTCTTGGCGGGACGCGGACGCCAGATTGGCAGATGGCGGGGTGAAGGGTGAACATGGGGGGCCGAGGAGAAGAGGTCGGCAAGCGTCCGAGTGGAGGGGCAGAGAGACGAAAGGAAACAGAACAAGCATGGCACAAAGGAAAGTTTAGAATTTGCTCAGGATTTCAGGGTCTCGACTGGACTGATGGGCCTGCGGCAGAGGTGAATCGTGATGGGTTCGTGGATAAGGTTTCGGCGGCCATGGTTGTATGTGAAGCCTCAGAGTCAAGAATAGTTCCAAGGAGATTTGCAAGATGCACGGGGCCCATCGGAGCCCAATGTTTCGATAAGGAGGCGGTTTGGGCCGCAGATGGAACGGTTCAAAGTTGAGAGAAGGCCGAAGCGATGGGACAACTATCTCAAGGGACGGCAATGGGAGCCGGCAGAGAGGACATTGTGGAAGCTCACAGCTTAGGTTGTGAGAACTGAGAACTGTTTGCATTCTTCCTTTGGTGGGGATCTAGAAAATGTTTATCAAGTCAGACTGGGTCGTCCAAACCAGCAAAGTCTCTGAGACTGTCGTGGATCGTCAACCAGGAAGAACTGCACGACTTGAACTCCGGAAACTCTGGAGGATGGACGGGGAAAACCGCGGGTATTTTGGCGGGGAAGAAGGACGAGACGGTGAGTGGTCAGGGCTGATTATGTAAGAGGCCCTCGTACTCTGCACCTTGAGGTACCTTAGTGCCTATGGCACGTGTCCAGTACGTACTGCAGCGGCGCTTCGAATCTCCAAGATCGTCGAGCACGGGCCAGGGCAAGGACAAACTAAAGACCCGCACTTTAACCGCTTCGTCCAATCATCAAACCCCCAGAGCTACTCAGTCGCCCGAGTGCTCGGCATTCTTCCCTCCTCTTTTTTTTTTTTTTTTTTTTTGGCGGTTATTCATTTTGCCCACCTCATCTTGTCTTCGGTTACTCGCAGCAAGTCGAACACATCAGTGTCGTGCAGAATTACTCATTTTCTGTTTCAATCTCAACTTTGTTGGGAAGCTTTCCATTGTCCGAGTATTTCGTTGCGCTTCTGCTAACCCTGAGACCAAAACGGGCACGCAATACACAGTCTCTAGAAGTCTAGCCACGCTTCCTCAGACTAAATTTCAGCTTCGTCAAGTGACACTGGAGCTGTTCTTCTGCCGAGTCCAATCTCACCCCAAAAGGGAAAACCTAAGCGCTACTTTCCTCATACTGCACTGCTTCGCATTGCTGGCCATCCCACTCTCCATCCTAAAGCGGTCATCTCAACCACGCAGAGGGGTCTCAAGTTGCACCGTTGCCCACGATTATATCTGTTGAAATGGCCGCAATGAAATGCCCTCCGTCTTTGTCTTTGCTATCTCATCATCTTTTTCCAGAATTGTTCTCTCACTCCCAAGCAAGAGAACCTCATTGATACCAAGTGCTTCTTTGCATCCTCCTTACGATTGCGTCACGTATTGCCCTTACTTTACGTTCACTATACCGAGCACAGTCGACCAAGAAACCCGACGGCCAACTGCTACTGCTACCCCTCATAACCACAAAACCGAGATACCCTCATCCCTTAATAACCCGTCGACACATCAAAATGGCTCCCAGTGCAGTTCCCTCAGAGCCCGTGGCTCAGGGCATCGTGGCCGCCAAATCTCTCAACGGCACCAACAGCCAGTTCCAGCTCACCGAGTCCGAGAAGAAGGAGGTCGATTTCGTTCTCCGCACATTCCGCTGTCTTATTGCCGATTTGTGTGAGCAGTTCAAGGGTGGCCACCCGGGCGGTGCCATGGGCATGGCAGCCATCGGCACATCTCTCTGGAAGTACGCCATGAAGTACTCGCCCAAGAACCCAAACTACTTTAACCGGGACCGTTTTGTCTTGTCAAACGGCCACACCTGTCTGTTCCAGTACAGCTTTCTGCACTTGACCGGCTACAAGAACATGACTATGGAACAGCTCAAGTCATACCACTCCGCCCGCACCGACTCAATCTGCCCCGGCCATCCCGAGATCGAGCATGAGGGTATCGAGGTGACGACCGGCCCGCTGGGCCAGGGTATCGCCAATGCTGTTGGTCTGGCTGTTGCTACCAAGCACCTCGCCGCTACCTACAACCGTCCCAACTTCCCCGTCGTCAACAACATGACATGGTGCATGATCGGAGACGCCTGTCTGCAGGAGGGCGTTGCCATGGAGGCGATCCAGCTCGCCGGCCACTGGAAGCTGAACAACCTCGTCGTCATGTACGACAATAACCAAATCACCTGCGACGGAAGCGTCGACCTCTGCAACACCGAGGACGTCAACACAAAGATGCGCGCCTGTGGCTGGAACGTCATTGAAATCGAGGACGGCAACTGGGACCTCGAGGCCATTGTCCGCGCCATGGACCAGGCTCGCAACAGCAAGGACAAGCCTACCTTCATCAACATTCACACCGTCATTGGAGTTGGCAGCGCCGTTGCTGGTGACGCCAAGGCTCACGGTGCCGCGTTTGGTGCTGCCGACGTCGCTAACATTAAGAAGACCTTTGGCATGGACCCTGAGAAGCACTTTGTTGTGTCGGACCAGGTCTATGACTACTTCCGTCAGGCCGTGTCCCGCGGTGAGAAGATCGAGGCCGAGTGGAACCAGCTGGTTGAGGGATACTCTCGTGAGCACCCGGAGCTCGCTGCTGAGTTCAAGAAGCGTGTTTCTGGAGAATGGGTCGACGACTGGCGCAAGTTTATCCCCGCCAAGGAGGACTTCCCTACGACTCCTACTCCTTCAAGAAAGTCCGCAGGTTTGGTCTGCAACCCCATCGCCGCTGGTGTGAACAACCTGATGGTCGGTACTGCGGACTTGTCTCCCTCGGTGAACATGATTTGGAAGGGCAAGGTTGACTTTCAGAACGTAAGTAGATGATGATGGTGCTACTCTCACGGATGATATTGACAATCCTTAGCCTGACTTGCGAACTTCATGCGGCATTAATGGCGACTACTCTGGCCGCTACATCCACTACGGCATCCGTGAGCATGCTATGGCTTCCATCTCCAACGGTCTGGCTGCCTTCAACAAGGGCACCATCCTCCCTGTCACCTCTAGTTTCTTCATGTTCTACATCGTAAGCTCCCTCTCCATCTCTCTCAAGCGCTCCTCTGAGAGTCTATCCATCATAACTTCCGAATGGGTTCTGACCTGTCTCATTAGTACGCCGCCCCTGGTGTGCGTATGGGTGCCCTTCAGCGCCTCCAACAGATTCACATCGCGACGCACGACTCGATCGGAACCGGCGAAGACGGCCCCACCCACCAGCCCATCGCCCTGCCGGCCCTCTACCGCGCGATGCCGAATCTCCTCTACATCCGACCCTGTGACAGCGAAGAGACGGCTGGCGCCTTTATCCTGGCCATGGAGGCCAAGGATGCCCCCACAATCATCTCCCTCTCCCGCCAGAACCTCGAGCAATACCCTCAATTCTCCTCGCGCGACGGCGTGCAAAAGGGCGCCTACGTCTTCCAGGAGGCCCAGGACGCCGACGTCACACTTATCGGCGTCGGCGCGGAAATGGTCTTTGCCGTCAGGACGGCCAAGCTACTCGCAGAGAAGCACGGCATCAAGGCCCGCATCGTCAGCTTCCCGTGCCAGCGCGTCTTTGACCAGCAGCCGATTGAGTATAAGCGCGAAGTGTTGCAGTACCGCTCCAAGGCGCCGCGCGTCGTTATCGAGGCCTACGCCGTCAATGGGTGGGAGCGCTACGCCGACGCCGGCTACTCGATGAGCACTTTCGGACACTCGCTTCCCGGCCCCGACGCGTACAAGTACTTTGGCTTTGATGAGGCTGTCATCGCGCCCGAGGTCGCCAAGCTTGTCGAGGAGGTTAGAGCAAACGGGGTCGACAGCCTCAGGGGCGAGTTCCGCGACCTTAACCCTGTTCACCACCACTAAGACGTCATCATCCATGAATCATCTATGAAAGCCCCTTTTTAGATGAGGTGGTTCTACTGTTCTTCTTTTGACGGAAAAGTTTTGGATAGGGCGGGTTCGGTAACGGAAATGGGGTCACTAGCGGCGTTCAGGGCAATGGGGGAGAATTCGGCAGGCAACGGAATTGCATAGAACACGGATTACCCTTGATTCTCGATCATAATTGAGTGCGAAAGAGTCACGAATTTGTTCGTTTTTGGAAGTATGAACGACGGGGAGGCTGCAGCAGGCCGTCAGCTGGTTGCATCCCGAGTCATTGGAGTGAACTGCTGTCGCATAGATGGCTCGCTGTGGGTGAGGTTTGATTGGGCTCATTTCGACCGGTTGACGTGGTGAAGATCGCACTTTGGGGTTGTATATCTTATTGCTGCTTTCTCAGGTGAGATTTGAATGAGAGCCGAGCCCTAACGTATGAGTTTACAGACATGCGCCTCAACTCACTCTCATCTGGTCTTCATGTCAATCTCACACACCTTACCCAAAACCGTAAAAGACAATTGTTTTGGAGCCCGAGAACACCGAGACCGGAGACGTCGCTTAACAAGATCTTACGCAAGTCCGAAGGCAGGATCTGGAACGAGGGTGAGAAAAGCTTGAGGGTTGCTGTCGGTTCCTTTTGCTGACAGGGTGTGGGGGTCTTGTGGAGTGCTACTCCAACAATTACCACAACACAAAGCCTCAAAGACGAACTCATCCTTCGCTCCCACGGCTAGCTAGACGGAGGGTCTAAGAAAGGATGGCGGGGTTGACGGGCGTAACGGGGAGCTCCCAAGAAGAGGAGTGCCACCCGTGACGAGGGCTGTTGGGGGCTTTTGGGGCTGCAAGACTGTGCAGAGTTTGTCCCAAGTCGGAGTCAACAAGGATCCCCCTTGCCATCCCCGGGCCAATCTTCTTAGCTCTACGGCAGACGGCTACGGATAGACAGGAGACGCCAGTTTAGCAGAGTCCGTCCGACACCGCTTACAGCTTCCCCCAGACTTTCTCCCCGCAGAATCTCTCCCTCATGTGTGTGTCTCTGTTTTTTTCGTCTGTCTGCCTCCCCGTGGCATTGTCATTGTCTGGGTGCCATAGCTCCCTCAGCCACGGCCGAATACGCAGCCGCCCTCACAAGTCTTCATCATAATCAACGGCAGAGCAGGGAGTCAGTTGCGATCACACTGCTGTGAAGAGGCTGCTGCCATTGGGCATCAACAAGTCGATCTGAAGTTCGTTGACTGCATGTTGCCAAGCGCCGGGGTACAGCGGATGTCTGGCTCTCGGCAGATGTGAATAGTAAACTTTGTTTGATATCACACGTCTTGCGGACCGGGGAGCTAACGCAATCCCGCAAGATACCCTTTTCTCTCCTACTACCCTTCACTACGTTCAACGGCTGTTCCAAGTCCGGGCTCCTGACCATTGGGGCTCGAGGGTTCACCGACGTGGTCCATATTATTTTACCTCTCCTTGCCTTATACACATTCCATTTCGACCTACTCACAGCCGCGCCCGCTCCTCCGTGGAAACGCATGTCGAAGCGCTTTTTGCTCCACGAACATCTCACATAACCTTTTTCACCCTTTCAACCAGTTTCCCTTTTCTTATCTCTTTCCAATTGTGGAGGGGGACATACCCCCGGCACTACCCGTTCTGCAGCGGATTTGTGTCAAGTTCCACCACACCGGAGAGTTGCCGCTGCGCTTACGGATTGCGAATTCGGATGCCCGAGTCCAGACGGTCTAGACCACGCCCACAGCTCGTGCCGATGAGCTCGACTCCATCATGGCCGCCGACGACGAGACGCAACGCCAGCCGTCTCCCGTCGTCGACGATGACAGGGGCCCACGTCCCCCGACCAACCCGGCCACGGCAGCGGCCGATGGACCTCCGCCGGCAAAGAAGAAGAGGACCCGGACCCGGACGGGCTGTCTCAACTGTCGCCGCAAGAAGCGCAAGTGCGACGAGGGCCGTCCGGCCTGCGGTGGGTGCTCAAGGCGGAAGGAGATTTGCGAATGGGGTATCAAGGTAACATTCCGGGCCGAGAACGCCCAGACGATATTGCAGGATCACCCGTCGATGAAGAAGGCTCGGCGGCCGCCACCTCGTCGTCACTTTGAGATACTCGACGTTACCAGCGAGGTCATCCGCGACTATCACCTACCGCCCGGCTTCCACGACTATGATTCAGATCGAGAGCTTGAACCGGATATATCACCCATCGAGAGCGGAATACACGGCCCGCAGCACGAAGACGATGACGCAAAGAACTTTGACAGTCCCGTATCCTACACCACCTCCACGGCCGGCGGCAACACTGCATCTGTTGCGGGATCGAGCACAGCAAAGAGGACATTATCTTCATCTGGCCCTAGCTCTGCACCGACGGACCACGTCTCCATCCCGGGCTATGGCTCCCTTCTGACACCCTCGACACGGCGGGAGGATGCGGCGAGTGACAAAGGACACTATCCTACAGGCGACCGCATGGACTTCCAGGCTTCACCCTCCTCAGCATCACAAGTCATCACCGACAGCGCTGTTGCAAATCTCATCTACCTAAGCCAGGGAGGCGCAGGCCAAGGAGCGCACGAGCTTCCCGTTTCCACTGTCACCGGTCTTCCAGTCACAACCTTAGCCATCGATCCTATGATGGATGCGCCGTTCGACTTTATGGACCAGATGTTCACGCCCGAAGGCTCCTACGAAGATGGTATCTTTTTGCCAGGCTCGGCATACCACGAGCTCCATTCTACGTTGCGAAACCATCTCATCCAAGAGGTTCGCTCCAATGGTCCTACGAGACCAGCATCACCGGCCTCTGGCCAGAACTCCAGACGAAGATCCATTGACGCCAGCTCCGGGCCTTCTTCGTCGAATGAGGCGGTCGAGACGGTTGGCGAGATATCTTCTGATCACGAGCCCCCTCGTCTTCCACTGGAGGAGGAGTGCGCGCTATGGAAGAACTGGGTGGACGAGATCTCTCCCTGGCTAGACAAATTCGACAATCAGCGTCACTTTCAGCATTCTCTCCCAACAATGGCCCGGTCACACGATCATTTGCGGTATTCTATGCTGGCTCTTTCAGCCCGACAAATGGAGCTCAAAGACAGGAGTCGGCCTACAGACCAGAGCCTGGCTCTTTATCAAGAAGCGATACACCTACTCTTACCCCAACTGCCGACGCGGACAACAGCCGTTATAGCCTCATGCGTTGTGCTCTGCGTTCTAGAAATGGCCAGCTGTTCCCCCAAAGCCTGGCGCAGACATCTCGACGGCTGCGCCAGTCTGATGGAGGCCGTAGGGATGAACGGTTTTGTGGGTGGCGTCGAGCAGGCGTTATTTTGGTGTTTTGTCAGAATGGACGTCTGCGGTGGCCTCATCTCGTCGGTCAAGACCTTGATACCCGTCAGCCATTGGGCATCACCTGTCGATCTCGAAACAGACGCTGGTTTGTTCCTCACCAACCCCGGCCACGATATGTGGGCCAATTACGCAGTCTATCTGTGTGCCCAGGTTCTCGACTTGCTTGCTCCACTAGCCAAGGCCAATCCAGGTGGACTATTCTTTGACGGGCCGAGAAATGACATGAGATATCGAGTACGGTGGATGAAGCTTTGGAGATATGTCGAAGACTGGCACAGCCGCCGGCCATCCGAGATGCAGCACATCATGTCGATACCCTCATCGGACGCGGAACCCTTCCCGAAGATCTTGTACAGCAACCCTGCCGCCATCTCAGGGAATCAATTATACCACACAGCGTCACTCTTGATGCTGCAGAACAGGCCAGCCTCTCTACGACTATCACCGAGGCCTCGCTCAGCGCTCTGGCACGCCAGGCAGATTTGCGGAATTTCAATGACTAATCATCACCACGGGGCGTGGACCAACAGCGTCCAGCCCCTATGGATTGCGGGACGTTGCATGAGCCATCCCGCGGAGCATCGTGCGATACTAGAGTTACTAGAAAAGATCGAGACAGAGAGCGGATGGGGCACCAAGTGGAGGGCAGATGACCTGAAGGAGTTTTGGGGTGACTTGGGAGACGGTTAGTATCCCGGTGACGAACGAGACAAAGACTTTTCTTACGTTACGTTATGTTTCTCTCTTTCTCTTTCTTCTACTTTGATGATTTAAAGATGGAATGAAGTGCTCTGACACAAAATCTCGTGTGAGCAGCTCTAGCCGCTCGGGAAGGCATTGGCGCAACGAGACCTCCACGTAACGCGTCAATATTCTGCGTCGGCTCTAGTATCGGATCAGCATCAAGTCTATGAAGAATACCTCCCGCGCATGGCATTACCGTTACTACTGATACCTCATGACTTCAAAGAAAAACCACGCGACTCAGTCAAGGACCCATTACAGTGGTTGACAGGCACGCGGTCTCCGAACTGCTGGAATCCGAGGCTAGCATCAAAAAACAAGCGCCGCGCCCCTCCTCCCCTCCCACCACCCCCGCGGGTTAACAATCTGACTTTGGGATCCAATCTGGTCCGAGGAAAGCTGCCCCACGGGACGAGATTGGCGGGTACAGATGTCGGGATAAGACGGTTTTTCCAAGGTCAAAGGCGTGGGTCATCATCTCCACACTTTCCCCTTCCCCCCTCCCACCCTCTTCCATCCCCAGGAAGTTGCCCGCGAGTAATACTGCTAATACTACGGAGACCAAGTACTCCGTAGCGGCTTACTGGCGGCAGGCGGAAGCCTACCCATGGTGCAGCGTTCATGCGGGTTTGCGGAGGAGTGACCAGGGACCAGCCGGGGTGAGACAAAAAGTACGAGGATGACCTCATTTCCCCGTCTCCTGCTAGGGATGGTTCGAGGGATGAAATAAGCGCGGTTGTTTTGGCTCGGTCCCGGTCCTCACAGTTACGCTACCCATGAGATGGCTGAGATGTACTTCCCTCGACAGGGGATGCGATCGGGACGGCAACCCGAGGCGCATTCGATACCTTGAGATGTGGCTGATCAGATGTGGTTTCACGCGTCCCGGCAGTTGAAAGGCCACCACGTTGATTGCTATAGCACCTATTTAGTTGGTGCTGCCACTGCGGCGTTCATCATCCCGCGGCAAGTAGACCTGTCCAACCACCAAGCCACAGGGATCTTGCTTAGACGAGGAAGTGGAATACTCGGTTCTGCTTGGACAGATTCGTATTGGCGACAAGATCGGAGAAAAGTCCGTCAAGGGTTTGGAGCCATGGAGTGTGTGGCAGGTCGAGCCGCAGGTCTTGTCCAGCGGCTCAGCGGCAACTTGCTTGCTTTCTTCCCGAACATGGCGCTACGAGTGGCCTTTCCTGGAATTAGATAATAATTATGGGAGGGCGTCGACGCCGGCCTGAAAAGACACGCGAAGGGAGTCTTATACCGCCATATTTGGTCGGCCGTTGTTGGCTTTACGCCTCGGAGAGAGCCGGAGCACCGAAGAGGCACAGGAAGAGGATTAACGGGTGAAATCCCACCGGTCACAGTGAAAAGGAAAAAAGAAAAAGAAAGAAAAAGCGCTTTCAACTTCCTTATCTTCCTGCAGAAGGCAGCTCCACGCATCTTTACGCCATGGCCCAAGCTCGGCGATTTTCACCCTTGTCCCTGTCCGTTTAGTCTCTTAAGACTCTAACCCCTCCAGCAATAGCCCCCCGGATTCGCAGACGGAACCTTGGCTTTTTCTCCCAGAGTCCCAAGTAATTGCGTAAAGCAAACAAGCCTATCCGG